CCCCCTGTCCCAAGAGCCCCCCACACCTGACCTGGGACCCCTGTCCCAAGGCACCCCACCCACCTGACCTGGGACCCCCTGTCCCAAGGCGCCCCGCCCACCTGACCTGGGACCCCTGTCCCAAGAGCCCCCCACACCTGACCTGGGACCCCCTGTCCCAAGAGCCCCCCCCACCTGACCTGGGACCCCTGTCCCAAGGCACCCCGCCCACCTGACCTGGGACCCCTGTCCCAAGGCACCCCACCCACCTGACCTGGGATCCCTGTCCCAAGGCATCCCACCCACCTGACCTGGGACCCCCTGTCCCAAGAGCCCCCCCACACACCTGACCTGGGACCCCTGTCCCAAGGCACCCCGCCCACCTGTCCTGGGACCCCTGTCCCAAGGCACCCCCACCCACCTGACCTGGGACCCCTGTCCCAAGGCACCCCACCCACCTGACCTGGGACCCCTGTCCCAAGGCGCCCCTCCTACCTGACCTGGGACCCCTGTTCCAAGGCACCCCGCCCACCTGACCTGGGACCCCTGTCCCAAGGCGCCCCTCCTACCTGACCTGGGACCCCTGTTCCAAGAGCACCCCTCCTACCTGACCTGGGACCCCTGTCCCAAGGCGCCCCGCCCACCTGACCTGGGACCCCTGTCCCAAGGCACCCCACACCTGACCTGGGACCCCTGTCCCAAGAGCCCCCCCACACACCTGACCTGGGACCCCTGTCCCAAGGCACCCCGCCCACCTGACCTGGGACCCCTGTCCCAAGGCGCCCCTCCTACCTGACCTGGGACCCCTGTTCCAAGAGTGCCCCCCCCACCTGACCTGGGACCCCTGTCCCAAGGTGCCCCCCCCCACCTGACCTGGGACCCCTGTCCCAAGGCGCCCCTCCTACCTGACCTGGGACCCCTGTTCCAAGAACACCCCTCCTACCTGACCTGGGACCCCTGTCCCAAGGCACCCCACCACCTGACCTGGGATCCCTGTCCCAAGGCACCCCACCCACCTGACCTGGGACCCCTGTCCCAAGAGTGCCCCGCCACCTGACCTGGGACCCCCTGTCCCAAGGCGCCCGCCCACCTGACCTGGGACCCCCTGTCCCAAGAGTGCCCTGCCCACCTGACCTGGGACCCCCAGTCCCAAGACACCCTGCCCACCTGACCTGGGACCCCCTGTCCCAAGAGCCCCCCCACACACCTGTCCTGGGACCCCTGTCCCAAGGCGCCCCCCACCTGACCTGGGACCCCTGTTCCAAGAGGACCCCTCCTACCTGACCTGGGACCCCTGTCCCAAGAGTGCCTCCCCACCTGACCTGGGACCCCTGTCCCAAGGTGCCCCCCCCACCTGACCTGGGACCCCTGTCCCAAGGCGCCTGCCCACCTGGCCCAGCAGGTCTGGCAGTTACTTGCACTTGGCTTCTGTGAGGTCCCCACAGGCCCAGAGGTGCTGGGTGGAGGGAGGGGCTGCATTCAGTCCTGGACTCCTCCTGGGGTGGGTGCCTGAGCGGGGCTCTGGCCCAAGCTCAGAGAGGACCTGGCCCTGTCTCGTGGTGGGAGAGAAGGAGACACCACAGGGGCCAGAGGCTAGAGCCTGACCTCATGTGGCAGCAGAGGGGACAGCAAACAGGAAACCCTTCAGAGGAGGAGAGGGGCCTCAACCCTCCAAATGCAGGAGTCCTGGGTCTCAGGGGTGAGCGGCTCCTGAGGACCTGGGTGGACCTGGGACCTGAAGCCAGCCTGCGTTCAGACTTGAACCAGGCAGAAGGGACAGAGAAGGGGAGGACGTGGGCAGCACCTGGATCTGGCGCCAGAGCCCGCCTGGTCCCTGCTGCTGGTGGCGGGTCGGCCCCCTCCCATGCTCCTGTTCCTAGGCTCCGGCGTCTGAGCACTTCTCTCCTCTCCTCCCAGAGATGGGGCTCTCCACAGAGGGTCCCAACCACAGATCAGAGGCTGGGCCTTCCCGTGTGGACAGAGGACACTGACTGAAGGAGAAGCTGGCCCTGGCACCCGTCCCCACTGCCTCCATGGGGCGGCCTGCGGGCCGAGGAGGGGTCCCTGCTCTACTCAGCTCCAGCCCAGAGCCCTGGTGTGAGCAGGCCCCGCCTTGGAACCCGGAAGGGGGTTCAAAGAGGGGACCCAGGGAGAGCCCGGGGGGCCTGGGAGTCACACAGACGGGCCACCGCTCTGTCACTGCCTGAGAGGGAGATGGTGGCTCTCCAGACCTAAAGTGCTGGCCGTGTTAGCTTTTCAAGACGCCCTACGGGCAGTGCCCGTGAGAAATGGCCACCTTGCGCTTCTCTGTCCCCTCACAGTGGTGAATCCGCCAGAGCCACCTGGCACGGGTGGCTCCTTCCCGGGGTGGGCTTTCCTTCGACTGCACTGTGGTTGAGAAGTTTGTGCTCAGCTCATCTAAATGTCCAGGAGAAGAAGGTGGCACCCTGTCCCAGCCAGAGCGCAAGGCAGCCATGGGCTCCTGCTCGGGCCCCTGGGCTGCCGTTCACAGGCTCATCCCGGGGTGTGGGGAGCCGCTCAGAGTGACCACGCCTTCCAGTCCTGAAATGACCACGCCTTCTGGTCCTGCAATGACCACGCCTTCTGGTCCTGCAATGACCACGCCTTCTGGTCCTGAAATGACCATGCCTTCCGGTCCTGCAATGACCACGCCTTCCGGTCCTGCAATGACCACGCCTTCAGGTCCTGAAGCATAGGCTCTGACCAACCGCTACATGTGGTGGTGACTGGGGTGTTGTCCTGGCAGGATGGGAAGGCAGGTCTCCAGGTGCAGGGGGTTGAGCCCCACTCCCCTGTTCCCTTGTAATCCTACCCCTGGCCTAATTTGAATGGCTTCTCCCCAATAAAAGGTTCAGCACGTGCTCCCCTCTCTCTTTCTGTGGACCCCTAAGGTCAGAGGAGCCAAAGAAAAAGGTATCTCTGTCTCTGTGGGGTCATTTTGTGCAGCCCAGTTCACCTGGAGTGACCTGAGTGTTTAGTCATGGAACGTGACACTGGGGAACCCCAGAAACACTGGGTGACGCACACCCGAGGCCCAGGCCAGTGGACGTGAGTCAGCATCTCACACACAGTCAGGTAATGAGCTCCACGCTTTGTGATCAAGCTGGTGTGGAATGCGGACGAGCTGTGGTCCCCCTCTTTTGTCCGGGTCATGGCCTTGGTCTCCAGCCCGAGTTCTGCAGATCAGCCTCAGGCCCCACACTGCTCTTAAAGCACGTGCAGAAAACACGTGGAATCTTTACGCCGCGTTTACTGAATGAAGAGTCAGAGAGCTTCAGCCTCTGAAGGCTCCAGCACGCTCCGTGGGTGGGGACAGAGCCGCCCCAGGAAGGGCCACGACACCTGCTGCGGAGGGGCTTGTTTCAGGCCCCACATGCTACACTTCTCCCACTGCTGATGGCCAGCGAGCTGCTGGGGAGCAGCCACACGAGGAGGACACTAGGAAGGATGTGGTCCTGGGACACCAGAAAGCACCCTGGGGACATCCGACTCTGGAGTGCTGTATGACTTGACTGTCCTCTGTGACCTTTGGCCCACAGACAGAACACGGAACACTCTGGTGACAGGTATCAGAGCAGCAGATGGGTTGGCTCATGTGGGAGGTAGGGAGATGTCCAGGGCGAAATCCAGCCGAGAACCAAGACCCACACGGGAGGTCGGTCACTTTACAGCTGCCACCATGGCGCTTAAAGCAAGGAATCCACATGATGGATCTAAAAACAGCCTGAAGACTGGTGGACAGAGCTGACACTGAAGGTCAGTCTGAGCAAGCCTTCAAGACGAGTCAGAGGGACACAGGGACAAGCAGAGCAGGGCGGGGGAGGCCCAGGCCAGCTCTTTGGCACCCCATGGCCACCAGATGGCCACAGAAGAGTGCTGGAAGGAGAAGAGCTGTCTGAAGACAGTGGGAGGAGGGGACCTGGCGACCTGAAAATCCACATCCGGAGAGGACTTTCAAAATGAGCGCAAAAATGGCACTGCTTTCAAAAAACCAAAGCAGAACAGATGTCCTCCCAGTGGACACGCTCTCAGGGATGGTGGAGGACACCCTCCAGCTGGAGAGAGTCGGTCCCGGCACAAGGTCGCAGTGCGGAAGGAAGGGAGCCAGGGTGAGGGACCAGCCAGCAGCCGAGGACGGTGACCGTGGGCAGCAGGGACAGCAGCATGGTGCTCCCCCGGGAGAGGTGGCCGCCCCAGGCCAGGCCAGTGGTGTGTGCCGGGGCCAGCAGAACCTGGGGCCAAGCGCCTGCCCGGACGCTGAAAGGAGAGGAGAGGAGGAGGCCGGGAGAGCGCTGCCCGAGGCCCTCTGACCCGCCTTGCCAGGCCCAGGGGAGGCGCCCACAAGGCCATGCTGGGGCAGGAGGGCCTGGCTCTGTGCTCTCCAGGCGCCTCCTTGGCTGGGAGCACCAGGGGAGCTGGGGTGGCAGACCTGCAGGTGCCGCGGCTGGGGACTGTCCCCACGGGTTTCCCCGAGCCCTCAGAGCATCTGGCTGCCCCCCACGGGCATGGCTTTGGGTGGGGTGAATGCTCTCCACAAGGTGTGGGTGCCCTTGCCGTCTCCAGCACCACGAAGAAGACACGAGGCGCGTTCCCATGTCCATAAGATGAACTGGCTCAAAATCCACTGACTGATGCCCCAGGAAAAGACAGCGCAGATGAGACAAAGGGACGAACCAAGGACACCAGATCCACTAGACTAGATGCCCCCTCGGCAGGGACGGGGCACAGCAAGTGAGGCTGGTGACACTCCAGTCCCGCAGAAGATCCAGGTGGAGACGTTATGGCTTTCCTCTGGTAAATCTCAATCTGTGGGGAAAATCTTTTGAGGGAACACCTATTTTTAATTGGATAAATTTACACTCTGTACCAGGAAGGAATTAAGTTGAGAAGCCTCACAATTTTGCAGGAACTAAATATGGTGAGAAATTCAAAAGAACCATAAATAGATATGATTTATTTGACAAGTTTTATCTTATATTTGCCAAAGCAATGTACTCTGAATGAAGGCATGAAGATAGTATCTATGGAAACATTTGGCCTGGAATGTTTACACATTTCTATATGAAAAAATAGAATTCAGATCACCCTCCGTTGAGCAGCAGCTGCTGAGCTCGTGATACCTCAGCATCAGTAGAATACTTTCTAAACATAGCCCCGCGAGCAGAAGAGTCAGTGGAGGTGTCCGCGAGTTTGAACTTACTGAAGACAAAATGAAAATCGAAAAAAGACGAATTTGGTAAGAGAAAGATGAAGTTTAAAAAAGATGACTTTATGAAAAGAGACTAAACAGCAAATTAAAATACAGCATATGGGCATGCGTCTGGCGGGGCTGCGGCCCTCCTCGTAGTTAGAACATGTAAAGACGTCTGCGTCGCTGGCTTCCATGAACGTGGATGCAAGTTATTTTTAACAAGAACTTTATTTTTGAAACTCACTTATTAATGGGCCTGCTTTATAGATCCAGCAATATAATCAAACGTTGGCCAATTAACCGTTTGTCCCACAAGTTGACAAGTTTTCCTCCTTCTCAGAACCATCCTCGGTTGAACAGTGAGTCATGTGAGGTGGCAGGAAACCCTGCAGCCAGTGCCGGGGACAGCAGGGGAGTCCCCAGGTGAGGCTGTCCCAAGCACAGGGCACAGCACGGGGGGAGCAGCTGGGAGCTATCTGGGCGAGGTGGGGGTCTGCTCCAGCAGCAGACCTGGGAAAGACCTGATGGGAAGGAGGTTGCTGACCTGCCGCTCCAAGGGGTCTGGGCACACCTGGCACAGCGTGGGTGGCCAGGCAGCGTGGCAAGCGCCACCGAGTGGTGCGGGCACCAGGGAATCGCCAGGAAGCAGCAGCTGACGACGACTTGTTCTCCAGCCATGTGACATCTCTGCATTCTCAAACCGGGGCCTTGTGGAATCCACGCAGAGGCCAGCTGGAGGCAGAGGTCCTGACAAGAACCCATGAGTCCAAAGACCAAAGCGCGTCTCACACAGCCACCTGCTCCCACCACACCCTTGGCAAACCGTCTGAGGCAAACGTCAGGATCAAAATGCCCAGGGACTTGGTTCTCCAGGTGCAAACACGAGAAGCCAGTGAGATATTTATGTTAAGTCTGACTTTTAATCAAGGGCGATGGCAGGCCATCCTGTTCTCCTGCCTCTCTCTCTGCCCGTCTAATGACCACCCCAAGCATTAGGAAAGGAGCAGACTCCATTCCCATGCGCAACACGGTCAGCTGGCCTGGGCCTCCTCTACGTCAGCAGAACCCCGTTGTTCAGATAAGCCAAGGAAATGGTGCATAAGACAGGAGTCAACGCGAAGGCCACGTCTGTGCCCTGTTACCAGCTGTCCGACCGTGCCTCGGTGCTGGGCTCTGCGCTGCCCTGTCCCTCAGTTTGGATCTTTCTTCGTCCCTGTCTGGGCCGTTTGGAGCTGGGGTACTGCTGGCTGAACAGGACACTGCCTGAGGACTGCTTCAGGCGAAGCCAAGGCTCCGGGTTGGACTCTCTTCCCTGGATGAGGAGCCTTTGGGGTGGGGATGGTCAGCCTTGTGTAGCTGGAGCACCTCCGGCCCAGGCCTGCGGCTGAACGTCTGCTGTCCCAGCCCCCGGGAGGGTGCGGCCTCCGTGCTTCTCAGCGGGATGTCCTGCTCAGCTCCGTCTGGGCCAAGCAGCCTCGTCTTTCCCCTGGTGTCCCTTCTGCCCAGGGTCCTGGATCCAGCTCTCAGCTGCCCTCTGCTGCCCTAACCAGTGTGAGAGGCATTTCTCCGGGCCTTTGGCAATGGCTCTGGCAGCAGTGGGTAAAGCCGTGTCCTTCCAGGGAGCCGAGTCTCCCCCCCACCCTCTAATGCTTGTCTTGACACACGTGACAGAGAAAAATGAACTTATATCTTCTTCCTTTTCCCCCAAACTAGCAGATGCGCCGGTCAGAGGCGAATGCCTGCAGGCTGTTAGACCAGCCGCCTTCCGTGCTGGGGGTGTGAGGGGCAGTCCCTGGCCTTTCCCTGGGGCAGCTTCCGGAGCATCAGGAAGGGAGGACGCTTCTGAAACCGGAAGAGCAGGTTTAGATGGTGTCTAAGTCTAACCTTGTCTAGTTACAAGACCCAACGGAGCCAAGAGCAAAAGAATCCCATGCTGATCCACTTAAAGGGGTGCGCGGCTTGTTGCTACCTCTGGGGCAGCTACCTGGCCTCCGTGGAGCCTCGAGTCGGGCCTTCGATCCTCAGAGGTCCTTCTGAAATGCTGGGTGCCTTCACCTTGCCCATTCTGCAGGTGACCCAGAGCTGCAATGTGGGCTGAGCCGAGACCTAGGACAGCGAGAGCTCAGGTGGCCTTTCTCCTCTGTTCCTGCCGAGGAGGAACCGGAAGAACCCACCTGCACCAACAGCCGGAGACTCACGCGGCCCAGGCTCCTTCCTCTCTCCCCCTCCACTGCACTGTGAGGAGGAGCACAGAGAGGCACAGCAGACACCCAGCCAGGAGACAACACACAGCGGGAATCCACAGATGGAAGGAGACTTCAGGAATGTCCCCACTCAGCCTGCCAGGCTTGTCTGGATTCCAATTCAAACAAAATGTAAAAAGAATAAATTGACATTCATGAGACAATTGAAAACCTGAAGCCAGACTTGACGGTTATACTGAGGATTTTTGACGTAACCTCAAAATCCATTATCATGTCTAAAAATACGAGTCTTTATTTTTAGAAATACAAGGAACATTTGCAGATTGCATGATGGTTTCTGGAGAATATGGAGCAGGGAACGTGTGAGGGGTCTGGGTGGGGAGAGAGGCCGGCCTGGGCTGGGCCTGAGCCGGGTGTCAGGCATGGGAGGTGGGTCACGGCGTGGTAGGACCACGCTTGCCTCTGCTCTAGGGAAGTCCCTTCTGTCCCAGCTCCCTGGTGACCAGGAGCTGGCTCCTGTGATTCAGACAGTCAGGCCCTCTTCCAAAGGAGCCTCGGCAGTGGACGGGCCCCCGGTGCCTCCGAGGCCAGGCAGAGACGATGACCATTCACACGCCTCACCTCACCCGTCCGGCACCTTGAAGACGGGCTGGTCTGACAGCCTTGCGGACGACTGTGGCACCCCAGACCAAGCACAGAGATTGGTCTTGGGAGGAGCAGGGCAGGAAACCTCAGTTCTTGCTCGAAGGGTGCTCCCAGGGGGGCCTGGTACCAACTCTGGCCCGCAGGGTGGAAGAGGTGTCCTGGCCGGACCCCGCGCTCCCCAGCCTCCAGCACGGAGGGTCCTTAGCACCCGTCTCCTCCTTCAGGAAATGGAGCTAACATCCTGGCCACCTTCCTCCCCAAAGTGACCAGGGTCAGAGGGCAAAGTCCAGGCTGCCTCTGGTCTTTGGGAAACTACAAAGCAAAGCATCCCCACAGTCGGCGCGATGCCAAGGCTTGTCCTTACACGGTGACAGTCACTACCGAGGGAGCTCACAGCCTGGGTGGGCGTGAAACAAGCAGGAGGAAATGGGGTCCCTTTCACAGTGGTCCCAACAGTCCACCGAGAGAGAGGTTTCTGGTCCCCCCCACCAGCCTTCTCTACCCACCACCCACCAACCTCAAGCAGACTGGTTGAGGAGAGAGGTGCTCAGCCCTCAGCTCTGACCCTATTTACAAGCCAGGGCCACCAGACATGGTGGTCAGTGGAGGGCCCTCCCCGTCCCGCCCCACCTGGGCCAGCCCTGGCTCTGCCCAGAGGAAATGCTCAGGGAAAGGCCTTGGAGCCTGGGGCTGTGGCCTGGGGCTGTGGCCAGTGGCCTGCCAGAGGACCTCTGTCATCCATGGGGAGAGCCCCAAGATGGGAGGGTAGCTCACTCTCCTGACTCTGAGAGGAAGGCTTTGGGCTGGGGTCTGGGAGTGAGACCCACAGCCCCACTCCACTGTGCTGGCCGCACCCCCTGTGGTGAGCCCCCTGTGTCTCCACCCAGGCAGGGGCATCGGGAGGAGAGGGTGAGCCCTGTGGAGGCTCCGAGACCTTCCCTTCCTCTGCAAGAGTCCCTTCAAGTGACTGGGGGGCAATCCCTCCCTCCTGGTGAGTGGCTGAGGGGTGGGGACGCGCCCTGCCCGGGGCTGGGGGCAGATCAACAGAGGGAGGATCGGGCCTGGGTAGGCCACACGCTTCCCCAGGTGGCTCTGCAGCCAGGGACCTGAGGGCCATGGAGCAGCTGCCCACCTGGGGAAGCGCCCGTCTGCAGGACAACCGCATGGCTGGTGGGAGCCCCGGCAGAGCGCGCCCTGGGAGCGTCTCCGCGTGTTTATATATAGGAGCCAGAACCTATGGTCACTGCTCCCCGCGGAGACGGCAGTTTTTAGAAAGCATCTGTTCTGTGTTCTCAATAAAATCCAGGGGACTTGGAGACGAAGGGGAGATGGGGAAGTGACAGACGGAGATGAAAGTGGAACTGGCTGGGAGGAGGAGGGAGGGCCCCGGGGAGGAGGCTCCGAGCAGGAGGCGCAGGCTGTCCCCGCTCCACCCTGCAGAAGGGCAGCCGGCAGGAAGACCCCCGAAACCCTGTAGGAAGACCCCAGGTGGAGAGGAAGGCGGCAAGGAAGACAGGTCATCCATGGAGCCCGAGGACCGTCCCTCCTGAGATGATATCTGACCAGATGGAGTCCAGGTGGCTGGTGCAAGGTCCCTGAGCTGCAGCAAGACCAGAGGCCGTCTGTCAACCAGGCCTGTGGTCCCGGGAGCCCTGACCGTCCACAGGTGCTGTGCACTCTCCTCCAGAGGCTGGGGAGGCTGGGAGGCCACACGTGGCCACCAGCTCCAGCCCACGAGGAGAGGGCCCCTCTGGGCGCAGGGTCCTGTCTGTGTTAAGGACACATGGAGGAGAAAGACCCAGGGTTTCTTTACCCACCTCCACCCCCGCCCCGCGGCGTCTCACCCACGCGTGGCGCACTCCAAGCTGGGGCTCCCATCCTCCAGTGGAGGGGGACGCTGGATGGGACCCGCCAGCCCCAAGGTCCCCGCCAGCCACCTGCCTGCCCTCCCTGTCTCCCAGCCTGTCCCCACTCTGGGGCGGCAGGCAGATGGAGCCCGTGCCTTTTCCTGTCACTGGTTGCTCTTCTCTGCTTCTGCTACTCGTCCCCCATGACCCCAGCGAGGACACCTTGTCCGCCAGCCCTTCCTGACCTCAGCTGGCCCTTTCCCACCGAGGCTGGGTCCCACAGTCTGAGGCCGAGGGGGTGGTGGGGCAGAGGTGCTGTGCTCTCCCTGGCCTCCGGGCCCGGCACCTGCTCTTCTCTCCCAAGCGCTCAGTGACTTCACTCAGTCCCACAGGGCTGGTGGCTCTTCTCAGCACGGTACTTGGGACTGTGCCTCCTGGCACACCTTCCCTCCACTCCTGCGTGTGGGCCAAGGCCCCAGGGAGGAACAGTCCCGGGTCTCGGCAGCCCCACATCATCACAAATCCTCAACAGGCGTCAGCCCTTCCTCACAGGTGCCATCCTCTCCAGGTGCCCGAGGATGGGCCGGCCTGTTCTGCAGTCCCCACTCTGTCTGCGTCCCCTTCTCTCTTTGTCACAGTCCCCGTGAAACCAGCCATGGTTCTGGGACACGGTGGCCCACACTTCTGGCACGACAAAGCACAGGGGCTGTGGGAAGAGGCTGGGGAGGGATGTTCTGGCATCAAGGGGCTCAAAGCAGAAAGAACCCAGTTGTCGTGCTTTCCCCCTGGGGACGCGTGTGCTGGCCAGCGGAGCCCAGAGCAGCCGGGGCGCACTAGCTTCAGGTGTGGGAAGCGCAGCTGGCTCCGGGCCAGTCTCCAACAGATGCCAGGAACGTGGCCAGTGCAGCATCCACCACCAGGCCCATGACCCTCAGCTGCCGCCTGACCACACCAGCACTGCCCTCCCCTGACAGTCAGCCCTGGACGGGGACCCTGTAGCTCCCGGTGACCTGTGGGGCAGCTGAGTGCCTCTGTGCCAGCAGTCATTGTTCTCCCCAGGACACAGAGGGACAAGGACGCCTGGCCAGCAAGTAGCAGCCCTCAGTGCTGGGTTTGCTGGACGCCCCCGAGTGGGTGTGGAGATGAGCAGAAGGGGCCATGTCCCCCTGGAGAGCAGGCAGGCTCTGACAACCGCCAGGGTTGGTGCCTGGGCCTCTCTGCAGCCTGGCACTGGGGACACACCCCTTCCAGGTGTCTGGGGCCCTCTGAGCCTCTCTGAGTGAAGGGCAGAGCCCCTCAACATTCTCACACTCCTGGGGACCAGAGGGCCCAGGCCAGAGCCAGACTTGTGGTCACTTCAGCACTGCCCGCACTGGGCCTCCAGCCCTGAGCACACCCCCCTCCTCTGAGCCTCAGTTTCCCTCCCCGTAAAGCAAAAGGCCGGAGTCCTCCCGCAGCTGCTCACCTGCCACTCCTGATTCTAGAATCAAGGAAACTTGAGGGCAGGTGGAGGCTGGACTGCACTGTGAAGAGGCGGGCAGCAAAGCACATGGCCTGTCCAGTTGGCAGGGTACTGCCCTCGGGGAAGCTCCTGAGCTGCCTTGGATGAGGGGAGGTGAGGGGCACGGCCACCGTGAGTGTGCTCAGTGAGAGGGGCTGGCGGGCTCTGGCTGGGTGGCACCATCGTCCCCCCTGAAGGACCTTTAGGGATAAGTGAGAAACATACGGCTCACCTTCTAGGTCACGACCACGGCTGAGTGTTCCTGGTGGGGCCTCGGGGGCTGTCACCAAGCCTGTGTTCATGGCCCGGGTCTTGGAAGTCCCTGTGGGTCTCACCTGCAGTGCCCCTTGCTGGCTTCTTGAGGTGCCTCCTTGATGCCACTGGTGCTGCCTGTTAAGCCAGCTCCCCGGGCACAGTAGCTCTGGGTGACCTGTGGGTCAGCCCCAGAGCGCTGCTCAGTGGCCTTTATTTTATTGCCCTCTGTGCTTCTGCTTAATGAGGCCGCGGCCACCTTGCTGGACCCCGACAGCAGCAGGGCCTGGATGGGGGCCTGTGTGCAGCCAGCAGGACAAAGGCTCCTCTGTAACCCGCCCCCAGAGGGTTTCTGGAAGTCGCTGAGCCACTCTTCATCTTGGGTTTCTTGACCAGTTTCAGAGACGGGCTGAGCCCTGAATACCTGTGGTGGGCGACAGACATGACCAGGCCCCTCTGCCCTCTGAGGGTGAAGATGGAGAGGCAGTGACACAGCCTTTGAGGTGCCCAGAGCCAAGGCAGCGGCCTCTGAGGGCATGCTCCTCACTCACTTTGCCGCCACCACTCAAGTGCCCTTTCCACAGGGTCAGAGGGCCCGGGCAGCACAGGCAGGCCCGACGCTGGCCGAGCTGTGTGCAGGAGGGTGGCGCTGCACTCAGCCCTGGGCATCTCACGCCCCTGCCAGCCAGGTAGGGGCTGCACCAAGGGGGACAGAGGAAGGGCCAGTGTTTCCAAGTCAGATTGGCCCCCTGGATCTCGCCTGGCCAACAGGGAAGGGATAAAGCAGAGGAGCGTAAGGGAGCAAGGCAGATTCCTATTCCCCACGAGGAAGCAGCGCCCAAGCCCACCCGGCCCCCGGGAGGCTTGGTGTCCTGAGGAATGAGGGAGACTCTGGGTGCTTCTGAAGACCCTGGGACGATGCCGGCCGTGAAGGGCTCTGAGAGCCAGGTACAGGGAAGGGCCGGTCATCCCAAGAGTGGCTGATGGCGCATCACAAGCAGGCGCTGTTAAACCCCTCCGTGATGCACGGACGCTCCGGGCTCCTTCCAGCACGGTCAGCGCAGCCGGGTCGAGCCTGCCGCACGCAGCGCCGTGATGGTCCTGGAAACGGACTCTTCCTTTTTTATAGAAGTGTTTTGTGTCCCATGTGAAAAACAAAGCACACGACCCAGGAAAGAGAAAAAGTAATGTTCCCTCCTTCCATCTGGGAACTGGGGACTGGCCCCACCAGTCAGAAGTGGCAGCAGGCCAGGGTAGGCTCGGGGACAGAGGAAGCAGACGCTGTTTCACATATATGCACATTTTCCTGAAATCAGCTTTTCCCCGTTGACAGTGTATTATAGAAATAGTTCAGTGTGAAAAATAAGACGTGCTCATAGCTGCTCTGGATTACTGTGTGATCTTTCAATATATGGATCAGGTTTACACAGCTGATCCTCACCAAGGAGTATTTAGAGATTTTGTTGTGTTTGCCTTACAATTAAGGAAACTGTAAATAAGGACTCTTTGCTTTGTTTTGTAGTCATAGAATCCTTTGTTCTAATATGGGAGGCTCTGCTGACCATGCAGAATAACTCCCGCAGCCTCTGGGTCTTTTAAATCTTTGTAGTATTTCTGATCCCAAAAGGTGATTTTAAGAATTTTGTTGCTATATTTGCATTTACTTCACATGACTCCTGGCTGTTTTATTCCTCTCTGTCTATACCTGTGGAGTCTGTGAGTCCCTCCCGCTCTCCTTCCCTGAGGTCTTTATAAACACCCTGTGCCTCAAAGGTGGAGCACTTCCCCAGGTTTCCGTTGGCTTCCCATTCTGGTGGGAGGGTTTGGCTTTTGTTTTTTAATAGCAACGTACACTTCCACACGGTCCCCCCACCCTGCTTTCCACCAGTGCTGGAGTCCTGGAGTGGGTCACACAGACAAAGAGGCCTCCCTGCAAGTCGGTTCCAGAACACCGGCTGCAGCTTCTACTGGATTCTTGGTCCCAGAGCACTTCCTGCAGAAGGAAGGCCCTCTTTCCCCTTGGCCCCTGTGGTCCAGCCCTGCAGGCACCACAGCTCTCAACCACTCCGCTGCCCCTGAGAGGCCCCTCCCTGGACATGGCTCATTGTCTGGAATTTTTCTTTCTGAGGAGTTTGGGTTTCACTTTCCACTAAGGGATGTGAAAATTGGGAGTTTTTACAATGATCATTATATTATCTTGTCACTCGAAGAATATCAATGCAGAAGTAAATAATTTGGGATGCAGATCCCGGAACCCTCCCTCCAACCAGCCCAGAAGCCTCGCCCCTCCCCCCCAGGAGTCCTGCAGTCAGTGGATGCCAGGGGACCCTCCCCAAGGGTCTTTCTGGTTTGCACCGTAAGCTGGAACTCAAGCCCCGCTCTGGTCACACTTGGCGTATCTGCTGCGCGCCTCTCCCTCGCTGCCCTTCCAAATCTGCCGTCCCAGGACCCCTCCTGAGGGGCTGCAGCCAAGGCCCGAAGGCCTTGTCCTCCGGTCACCTGGCCTCGGGTGAGTGGGGCAAACATACCTGAGCACAGTCGGCAGTGGGAGGGCTTCAGGCTCCACAGGGCCCTGGCTGACTGGGTGTCGGAGGGCCCTCCTCAAGGCCAGGCCTGGGGTGCTTCCCTGACACCTGCAGTGGACTGGCCTGACGTTCCTGTCCCAGGCACCTTGTTGAAAGGGGGATTCTCACCCCAGCATCCTCGTGGGGCCTGGGGGTCTGCATTCTGACGTCTACTGATGCCGGGGACCTCACACTTCCACGAGAGGGGCCTGGGTTCGAGTTTCCGGAGTGCCAGGCTGGTCCCAGTCCAACTGCCCTCTGGCTCCTTGGCTCCATCTGTCCCCTCTCTCCCAGGCCCATGGCACTGTGTTCTGTCGGGCTGTGCTCCTGCTGCAGGGCTTGCACTGTGGCTCAGGCCGCGGCAGGGAGTGGGCACCTGGCTCCCAGCTCCGGCCCCAAGTGCCTGCCGATCCCAGCTGGTGCTGCAGGATGGCCTCAGAGCTGGGGGACCCTCCTCAGAACAGCCCTGAGAGCCTAGTGCAGGCAAGAGGGTGTGGACAAGCTTGGCCCAGCCTGGGATTCCCATCAGAAGACCCCTTGAGCTGCTAACGGCTCTGCAGCCTGATCTGCCTCCCCCAGGTGCCCTGGGCCTGACTGTGCAGCAGACACCAGCTGGCCGTCTCTCCACTTCTCTCTGGTCAGCAAGACAAAGCTTCCCAGAGGGAAGCGCAGTGATTTGTCCCCAAGTCCCTGGAGCTGGCGAGGCAGGAAGTGCTCCTCGCGGCTGGGCGGGCAGCCAGGAGGCCACTGCCCTGCCCATCTCCCTCTGTCCCCAGCAGGGAGCCCAGGCCTCCTTTCCCACCACCACCCTCCCCATCCCAGTGCCTTGCACACACCAAGGGGCAACCTGGTCCATGGAAGGCCTCGGGAACCCTTTTCTGGGCCTCTGGGTAGACAGCCATGGCTCACACCTTTGGAGGGACGCAGACGCCTCTGGGGAGCGATAAGGGAAAGACTGAAGTCCAGCTCCTCTGCCCAGAGCCAGGGCTCAGCAGGATCGGCAGCTCTAGGTGCCGAGGCATCTCAGCTGTGGGGAGAGGGGGAAAGCTGCTGCTGCACAGGCAGGGCGTCCCCCTCGCTGGCCACGGCACCTGCTCTGGTCACAGTGGGCTGTGAGGGCCTGTCCCCCGGGCTGGAGGCGTGGCCACCTGACAGTGGTGGTGTGTGCTCCCTCCCCTCCGACTGGGTTCTGTGGGCCCAGTCCTTCTGTTGGAGTGGTCTAGCCTTGGCTGCTGGCCCTCCCCCCACCCCACAACTGAAACGTCCCTGGCCTAGGCAGGGTCCACGGCACCGCCCTGGAGGAAGCCCCGTCCACCCCTCTGTCCCCAGCGCCAGCACGGCATTCAAAGCTCCGCTCAAGGCTCCCCCACCAAGGAAATCACAGAGATCCGAAGTGTGGGGTGCGGCTTGTGTGCCCTGCGGCCTGGGCTGAGGGCTGAGCGGCCTCTGTGAGCTCAAGTGGCTGCCAGCTGCCCCGGGTGGGCGCAGTGGCCTCCCAGCCCTGCTCTTCCCTCCGCCCCAGATGGGGTCTTCCCTCTGTTGCAGTAGCGTGGCCACAGTGGCTGTCGGCAAGTCTGCAGCGTGGCCCCAGGGGCCTGCGTGTGGGTGTCCTCTGCCTGCCCCGCCTGGTCCACACAAGGGCGGAGGCTGCTTTGGCAGGCCCTGCCCTTGGAGCTGTTGTGCTGACGGTCAGGTTCAGGAAGCCGGGCAAGCAGATGTGTTTACTCTGAGTGTGAAACAGGTGTGACAGGCGGAGTCGGGGGCTCCCCTGAGCACTTGAGAGGAAAGGGGTCCTGGAGGCACCGAGCGCTTCCGCTGCCACCACCAGTGCTCCGTCCACAGTGGCCACCGGCCTCCAGGCAGGCCACACTGGCAAGTCCACGGACCACCAAGAGGACTCCAGTGCACACAGACGCCTCGCACACACCAGTGCTTACAGGCCTGGAGGGAGGGACCGGGGTTCCTCTGAGCACACAGCCAGGCGGGCTCCCTTGTGCCGCCCCCACTGGGTCCCACTCAAAGAGGGCGGGGCCTCCCGCGAGCCTGAGCAGGTTGGGAGCTGCTCCTTCAGAGGTCTCCTGCCCACGCACAGGTCCACCTGCCACCAGGGCCCCCGGCTTCCTCCTGTGCCCCTCCACACCGGGTCCTCCACACGCCCTGCAGCCCAGTCCCCGACGTGGACACTGAGGCACAGAGACGCAGAGTGGGCTGCTCGGGCTGCCGCTTGCAGGGGCTTCTGGTGGGATTGAGGAGCTCTGTGTCTGGAAACAGAAAGGGCTGCTCTGGCCCCCACGTCACTGTCATGGTCCTCGAGGGGCCTGATGGCTGAGGCACCTCGTCTCCAGGGAACCTTCCCGAGTCCTCCCTCTCTGCACCAGTCAGGGTGACAGGCTCCAGTGACTGCCGCAAGAAAGGGGTGAGGTTTCTCTGCCACAGCCTTGGGGTGCAGCACCCCTTTGTGCTGACCAAGGACTCGCCGGGGGGCCGCTCCGCCCTGGGGGCTGTGCTTACCTCATTATCGCCGGCCTCCCCCATGTTTCTAGGGGCTACTGAGGCCCAGGACATGGGCCTGGCCACGCACACACTCAGCGGCCTCTCGCTGGCCCTCCCTCTTTTCCCTCGCCCAACACAGTCTGAGGGGTGACGGCCACCAGGCGGTGCCCCCGGAGCAGGAACTACAGGCCTTGCAGCCTGGGGCTCAGAGCCAGGGAGACGCAGAGGCTCACTGAGGGAGGTGCGTTCCTGACAGCCCAGAGGACAGACGGCCATCTCTGGTTGTCCCCGAGGCTCTGAGCTCAGCTCCACGCGGTTCACGGCAAACCTCCCCAGTCCCTTCCAGCAGGTCTGGGCGGCCGGCTGCTTTAATTGCTGGAGGACACAGAAGCCCAAGCTGACCCTCGTCAGTGACGGCCTACGCTCGTGCCAAGCAGCAAGGAGAGGACATGTGGAAAAGCAGTGCTCAGACTCCCAAACTGTTAGTTAATGCAGCCGTCACCATGACAACCAAACAGCACAGACACAAACCATCAGCACGCAGATTTATGGCCGAGAAGGTTGAGCTGAAGCCATTCCAGAGGTACATTATTTTCCACTTTTAGTTATAATAATAATAATAAAAAAATTCACAATCGAGCTGGAGAGCCTGATCCGGCAGAAATCTCCACCCAAGGCAGAAGCCCTGGTGCGAACAGGCCCGCGCTCTTTCCCAGAGGCATGGCATGTGCACTGGGCGTGGTGCAGCCTGGCTGTCCAGGAGCCCTGGTGGAGGTCAGCTCAGGGGCATGAAGTGTACCAGTGGGTGGGCTGCAGCTGACCTCCCCGCCGGGCAGAGCAATGGGAAGGTGTGGCGACCACCCCCTGGCTCTGGGTCAGCCGAGAGCCCATGCACAGGTCTGAATCCCAGCTTCCCACCTGTAAAGTCAGGAAAAGGCTTCAGCCCACCCAAGCCCAGGGTAAGCAGGATGGTTCACTGAGCTGGCCAGCACTGAGCTTCACAGCACTCCCTCGGGAGGACCCGGGGCCTGAGACCCCAACACAGCAATCGCTCCCTTCCCTCCAACCCCACAGGAGGGCCGTCCCCGTGAAGAGGAGAGTAGGGAATGAATGCAGCCATGTGGGCCCTCGGCTTCTGCGGGGGCCTAAGTGCGAGGCAGTGGCAGACGGTGGGTGAGGCTGTGTGCCGATAAAGCTTTATTGACAACGGTGGGTCAGACCAGACCTGACAATTGTTCACAGCCCCTACCTGTTGTTTCGGGGCAGTCCCTTGGCATGAATCTGTCATTCGTATCTGTCACTATTTCTGCACCACTAGGGGTTAAACCCAGGCCTCGTGCGCGCTGGGCAGGAGCCTACCTGAGCCACGTCCCAGCCCTGCCAACACCACGTCAAAGAGGGCGGAGGTGTCAAGTGTGGATGGTTCTATCCTCAGGCACCTGTGGGACGGGGCGAGCCTTGGGCAAGGCCCCTGGGGGCCCCGAGGGGTTGGCGTGCAGCACCTCGAGTGGGCAGGAAGTGCCCGGCTGCTGGGCAGAGCTCAAAACTCAGGCTCCCCTTGTGGGTTTGGTCTCTAGGAATCGAACAGCTGACAAGGTGGTAAAGACTGTCCCTGCTGTCCCCCATTCCCGCTGTCCCTCTCAGACCATGCAGTCTCCCTGTCGGTCAAAAAGCAGAAGAGCCCAATGCATTGGCTCCAGGGACGTGAGGATGGGGCGGTCAGAACCGTCAGAGCTCTGGGTGACTTCTAGGACCCTGGGCCACTCACAGGATCCTGTGCTCCCAGAGATTCCCCTTGTTTCTGAAGGTCCCTCCTGACCACTGACCGACAGTGACATCCAATCCAGCCAAACCCTTGAGTTAGCAAGACCTACACTCCTCCTCATGAGGACCTGATGCCCTGATGACTGTCACAGCTTTTGTCCTGGCTGCAGGATGGATGAGCCAAATGGGGAGAGGGTCCACTCCATACTGGAGAGTGTATCTCCAGAGCTGTCCTGGACCAACCTACCATTTCTGGCCAGTAGAATCAGGGCCCTTGGAGCAGGGCTGTCCTGGATCCATGCAGGACCCAGCCTGAAGGGGTGATGACCACCAGGTGGTGCCCCTGGGAGCCGGAAGCTAGAGGCCTTGAGCCTGGGGCTCAGAGCCAGGGAGATGCACAGGTCACTGAGGTCCTGTGCCTGCCATCGAGGGGTCCTCCCCAGGGTGCAGTCCTGCTCTAACCCTTGGGGGCTGTTGCTTTAGTTGTCTTCATAAGTGCACCATGAAAACAGAGCACCAAGATGCCACCTGCCCAGGTCCCTTCTAACAGCCTCGTGTCTGCACCAGTGCCATCACTGGCCGGCACGCGGACCTGGACCCTGATGCCCCCAGGCCCTGCTTCCCACTGGCAAAGTAGCAAAGGCCTGCTGACAGGCCTATGGCCCCCACGTTGTGTCCAGGGGCGCTCAGAGGCCTGCTGACGGCCCACGACCCCGCGCTATGCCCAGGGGCCCTGGCTCCCACCGCGTCTCCTCACACTTGGCAGCCTGCCTGCCAGAGACGCCCTCCCCTCTGCAGTGGGCTCTGGAGGGCCCGAGGCCCTGCCTGCTCCTGACCCTGGCTCCAGTCTGCAGGGCCTGCTCTCCCCCAGCCTCGTCTCACTCCCCAGGACCCCTCCCCTGGAGCTCGGCAGCTTTAGGACCTTCCACAGCAGCCGTGGCCCCCGAGGTGCCTGCTGCCGTCAGGGCTGGTGAGTCCTGGCTTCAGGTAGGACCTTAGGAGTTCCTGGCTCCTCCCTGGTTCCCGGGAGCGTCCATCTGTCTTCCTGGGCAGGAAGTTGCCTGGGAGCCCTGGAAGGAGGCCCCATTGGTTTCCTCTGCCCCTTACTTGGTGTCTGGGATGACACCTGTCACGGCCACAAGAAGGACGTCTGAGCTCAGGCCCAGCTGGTCAGCTCGGTGTGGGGCCCAGCATGCCCACCCTTTCTGGTCCTCCTCCACTGTCCCACCCTGGCCTGGCCACACTGTCTCCAAGTTCCTGCAGCCCCCTGGGCCCCCTCCCCAGCCCTGTATCCTTCCCCATGACCATGGGTCCTGGCCTGGCTGCAGGACGTCCAGGCGCCCTGCTCTGCCCAGGAGCACTTGGGCACTCATCTGTGGGAAGGGCCAGTCCTGACCCCACTGCCTGGAGACGTGG